TTTTTTTTTTATTTCTTGCGTGTAGAAACACTTGATGAAGAAGAATTCGGAGAAGATTCACAGGCATCGGCTTATGATGAAAACGTGACGAAGCCAGCGGAAGAGCTTGGTTTACTGGTCAATAATCTTTTTGATTATATATATCTAGCCACACTCACTCACCAATTGCTTGAAACTCTGGCGTTTTAACGATTTTTTAATATATATATTTTTTTTGGCAGGATGAAGATACAGAGGATAGCATGTTATTCTTTCAGTTACCGTCATCAATGCCCATGCTGAACAAACCTACTGATGACGAGGCCAAAGGGCCCGAAAATAATGGAAAGCCCGCCAAGGGAAAAGCCCCTTCTCTAAAGGCGTGTAGCTTGGAAGCACTTCCGGCCGGCCACATGGGCAAGTTGCTGGTTTACAAGAGTGGTGCCGTGAAATTGAAACTTGGCGAGACATTATATGATGTGAGTATATATCTATCATCTTCTAGCAAAATATGCATTCACTAGTATCTCTAGAGCTATGAATATAAAAAATAATAATGTGTAGTTACAAAAATGTATAGTTTAGAGGCTTGATTTAGTCTAAATTAAAATTAACAAATCGAAAATTTTCAGCTTTCTCCTGATTCAGAGACCTCTCTGTATTTGTTTAATTTTACAAGTACATTCCAAATGCAAATATATACCTGAAGGGGTACTTCTAATTTCTACAAGTTGAAAAGTTCTTCTAACTATATGCGATATGTTTTGTGATTAAATCAGTAAAGCTACTCGATTTGATTGTTAAAGAAAATAAACGAAGAAAGCGGGTTAGAAGAGAGAGACCAGAGAATTAAAGTTAGCATTCGACTGTATGTCGACTTATTGATACCTGGATTACCAACTAGTTTGTCATGGATTATTATTCAATATGAAAATTTGTGATAGTTTAATGTGGTACAAAGCTAATTTTGCTCGTGAATCTGACGTACTACACTCACAGGTATCTTCGGGTTTGAATTGTGTGTTTGCTCAAGATGTTTTTGCAGTGAATACGGACGAGAAACAATGTTGCAACATTGGGGAGCTCAAAAGGCGTGCTGTTATAACACCCGACATAGACAGTATCTTAGATTCTATGTCCGAGTTGTGATGGAAATTTTGTTTGTTTGTTCTTGAGATTTTGCTTTGTGGTACGAACTCTCGTACGAGGCTTATTGCATGTATATGGCTACTTCTAAGCATTGATATGATGAATATTACCATAAGTTGACTTACTTTATTATAAACAATATATGTAATTTATTTTTCAAATAATATATGTGATAAGACCTAGTGCAGGTGACTCCGGTCCAAGAATGATCTTTGATTTGGAATGGAGTCCTTCTCCAGTTTCCAGTTTGGACTAAGATATAGTGAGATACCTACAAAAGGGCTAAACCCTCTGAAACTTAAGTTAGAATTGGGATTTGGACGAAGAGATGAGTGAGACACCTGCAAAAGGGCGCCGGAGTTTCTCCAGCACAATACCACGCGAAGCTTAAGTTAGAATCGGGAGATGGAGATGAAAGATGAACAGTGGTAATATAATTACTCGGAATTAAACGTATCTACCCCTTGCAGTTTTGCTCTCGCTATAAATATAAATGTTTGTCTTGTGTACGTATCTACCCATAGGATTGACCTAAGCCAACTTGATGTAGGATTGAGACCTATGTTTCTAAAATTTTGCATCATTGATATTCATCGACTATTGTTGATTGATTCCCAACAAAGTGAACACTATATATATATATGGAAAATGCTAAGGTGCCGTGGGGTGTTTTAACGGCATCATCCCCTCAATTTTGTATCCAATAGAAATTTGCCACTTCACCTTTATTTATGGAAGTTGTTGTATAGTATAATTACCAACAGTGGTGGCAGTTGTTTTGTTTCAAAGGATTAAGCTAATAATTTAAATATAAATAAATAAAAATAGGCTAATAACGTGTGTCGCATTGGTAGATTAAAAATTGCGAGGAATTAACCTAAAACTAAATGGTAAATAAATAAAAATAAGCTAAAAAAATATGGCAGGTTAAACAAAATTAATTTAAAGTATCTTCATTAATTTTGTTAAAAAGATTATAGTCTAATAAAGTGTGGCATATTCAAATAGTTTATAATTTTAATATTATATGCATAAATATAACGTATAATACTTTATGTTTAAAATATAATATCATTATCTAACTTGTAATTTTAATATTATATGCATACACATAACTCACAATATATTATTTATTGGTGGTTAAAAGCAATATGATGAACTAAGGTCTAAATTATATCTACATCTAATGCTAATTATGAAAAATCAAACCCTTAAAAATTTTTAGGGCCTTATTGGACGTAATCTAGATTATAAAAACCGACGTATGTTCTTTAATAAATGTTTACGGCGGAAAAAAATGAAACGATCGTGTTTTCTTCTTTGATCTGAGGAAAAGATCTGATGGAAGAGAAAATTTTGGAAGGAGGGTGTTGTTTATGCGACGTAATTTTCTCGATGGCTAGGGTTTTCTCCTTAAATACATCATGGAGGCCAATGTTTATGCGGCGTAATAAGACAAGGATTGGGCCACTGTTTAGTTTGGGCCATTTGATTTTTTTTTTTTAAAAAAAAATCTTAACGGTTGTTGTTCCAACTTTTAAGTCTAATGTGCTAATTGGGCCATTTTTAAATTTTGGGCTATCTCACGAGCAGTAGATTTTGAAAATAATGATTTGTAGTGATAGATATTTATGACGATAAGAAAACCACAAACATTGTATATAAAAAAATATTTAATAATATTTAGATTTTGTTTCCTAAATTGTTTTTTTTCAATGATTATGTTATATTTTTTACTATTATTTATATTTTCTATTATTTTATTTTTTATCATATAACTTTCCATGTAAAGAGATGGGTTACAACTAGTATATATAATTACTAGTTAATAACATTTAATAAAACTTATTTAATTTTACCTATGTGACAATTTAACATTTTTCCCTCCAAAAACCGTTATTTTTGATGTATTTATTTTTATTTAATTATTACATAATCAAAACCGTCACTTCAAAATTACAAAAATCATTTTAAACTTTCAATGACATTGACCATATAATGTGTTAGATCATATAATGTGATTAGATATTATTATTGTGGTTACATTTAAATTATTTTTTTAAAAAAAATACGTATTTGAAATTCCTAAAATGTATTTGTCACACCATTAGTTGTTTATTATTTTTCTTTTATTTTTTAAATTTATGTAAATCTACTAATCTTGATTATTTTAGAATACTTTGTAGGAATTTATAATCACATAATATAAATTCAATAACAATTATCCTAGAATATGT